GCTTGCTGGCTTCTGCATGTTGCTTGTTGTATTCTGCATGTTGCTTGCTGGCTTCTGCATGTTGCTTGTTGTATTCTGCATGTTGCTTGCTGGCTTCTGCATGTTGCTTGTTGTATTCTGCATGTTGCTTGTTGTATTCTGCATGTTGCTTGCTGTATTCTGCATGTTGCTTGCTGTATTCTGCATGTTGCTTGCTGTATTCTGCATGTTGCTTGTTGTATTCTGCATGTTGCTTGTTGTGTTTTGCATGTTGCTTGCTGTATTCTGCATGTTGCTTGTTGTATTCTGCATGTTGCTTGTTGTGTTTTGCATGTTGCTTGCTGTATTCTGCATGTTGCTTGTTGTATTCTGCATGTTGCATGCTGTGTTCTGCATGTTGCTTGCTGTGTTTACATCTGAGTGTCTACGCCCACATCGTTGCTGTAAAGTTGGCGGGACCTCCGATTGGCGTACAATGTCTCCGAGTCTTTGGGGAGAAATTCCACATTTGGCGCAGACCTATACCTCCCTCCTTCTGTCGCTCTTCTGTTCATCTGACTCTCGTTCTGTCGGCTGTGAGTGTGAGCATGCGCCGGTAAGGTCCCAACAGACAAACTTCTGGGACTCACAGGAACTTCGTACCCATCGTTGATGACGTCAATGTAAGGGGAAGGGCCAGCCTCGTTTTGAGAGGCTCCGGAAATGGCAGAGACAGCGTTCTCGTCAATCTCCTCATAGCCGGAGTCACAGTCCAGGGGTGTGTGGGGCAGGGGGGTGTGGGGCAGGGGGCGCTGGCCGTTCTTGGAGTGGCTCCAGTCTGTGCCGGCTGTCCACAACATTGGGAAAGGGAGTAGGGGGGTGGGGGGGTTGTTAAGTAACATAAGAAACACACTCACATATACGAACGCGCGTACACAAGAAGACACAAACAAACAAACACGTGCACGCACATACGCGCCCACGCACACACTCAAGCGCAGACACACGTACAGATACATGCACTCATACACATAAGTTAAAATACACACACACACACACGCACACACACACACACACATGCACGCACACTCGCACGCGTACAAACACATCCAGATGGATAGATTATATAACTATTTATGATATTATACAGATACTATGACCGATAGATAGATAGTGGTGTGCGGTGGGGGGAGGAGGAGGGGGAGGAGGGAGGAGGAGGGGGGAGGAGGAAGGGGGAGGGAGGAGGGGGGATGAGCAAGAGGAGACTGAGGAAAAAAGAGAGACGCGTAGACGAACAGACCTACTGACAATACCAAGGGAGAGGAAGAGAGAGAAAAGAGGAGATGGACAGACAGGAACAGCCCACGGGAGAGGAAATCTCACCAATGATCATACTGCCTGTGCCGTATCCTGGGTTCGCGACATTCGCCACTTTGCGCTTCCCGGAAGTTGTTGAGGGCGACAGTACGTCTATGTAAGGCGGAAGTTCCCGAGCACGAGGCAGAGTGGAGCAGGTGGCATAGACGCCTTGACCCTCACTGTGGGGTAGACAGATTTCTTGTCACGGTATTTTGTCACATTATAGATAGAGAGATTTCTTGTCACAGTATTTTGTCACATTATAGATAGGGAGATTTCTTGTCACGGTATTTTGTCACACTATAGATAAAGAACTTTGTCACAGTATTTTGTCACACTATAGATAGGGAGATTTCTTGTCACAGTATTTTGTCACACTATAGATAGGGAGATTTCTTGTCACGGTATTTTGTCACACTATAGATAGAGAACTTTGTCACAGTATTTTGTCACATTATAGATAGGGAGATTTCTTGTCACGGTATTTTGTCACACAATAGATAGAGACCTTTGTCACAGTATTTTGTCACACAATAGATACGGAGATTTCTTGTCACGGTATTTTGTCACACTATAGAAAGGGAGATTTCTTGTCACAGTATTTTGTCACATTATAGATAGAGAACTTTGTCACAGTATCTTGTCACAATATAGATAGAGAACTTTTCCACAGTATTTTTGTCACAATAGATAGGGAGATTTGTCACAGTATTTTGTCACACTATAGATAGAGAACTTTGTCACAGTATTTTGTCACAATAGATAGGGAGATTTGTCACAGTATTTTGTCACACTATAGATAGGGAGATTTCTTGTCACAGTATTTTTGTCACACTATAGATAGGGAGATTTCTTGTCACAGTATTTTGTCACATTATAGATAGAGAACTTTGTCACAGTGTTTTGTCACACTATAGATAGAGAGATTTCTTGTCACGGTATTTTGTCACACAATAGATAGAGACCTTTGTCACAGTATTTTGTCACACAATAGATAGGGAGATTTCTTGTCACGGTATTTTGTCACACTATAGATAGGGAGATTTCTTGTCACAGTATTTTTGTCACACTATAGATAGGGAGATTTCTTGTCACAGTATTTTGTCACATTATAGATAGAGAACTTTGTCACAGTGTTTTGTCACACTATAGATAGAGAGATTTCTTGTCACGGTATTTTGTCACACAATAGATAGAGACCTTTGTCACAGTATTTTGTCACACAATAGATAGGGAGATTTCTTGTCACGGTATTTTGTCACACTATAGATAGGGAGATTTCTTGTCACAGTATTTTTGTCACACTATAGATAGGGAGATTTCTTGTCACAGTATTTTGTCACATTATAGATAGAGAACTTTGTCACAG